GAAGAACTAATAATTTTGGGGTGGAAGATGGGGTTTAGGTTACTCTGTGACAAATACAGAGATTAACAGAGCAGTATTATGGATGATTTGACAGAAGGTCTGAACAATTTGACCACTGGGTATTTATTGTTCCTTAAGTATATTTCTTCCATGGGAAGAAAAGGGGTCAATTCAACAGAGACAAGAAAGAGCATTAGAGGACAGTAACTAACGTACAAAGAGATGTGATCTATTAACAACATGAGAAAAAGGCTTTGAAAGAGACTTGTCACAAGCATCCAGAAATAAGGGATCTTAGAGAGGCAGAGATAGAAAAAATGAGTAGGCATTAAGAGAAAAGACAAGCTGGGATATTTGGGCAGTAAGAAACTGGATGAGGTTCAACAAAACCAAGTGTAGAATCTTACACCTAGGGAGGAATAATTGCATGCAGCAATACAGGCTGGGGGATGAGCTGCTGGAGAGGAGCTCTGTGGAGGGGGACCTGGGTGTCCTGGTGGACGACAGGTTGGCCATGAGCCAGCAGTGTGCCCTCATGGCCAAAAAGGCCAATGGCATCCTGGGGTGCATTAAAAAGAGCGTGGCCAGCAGGTCAAGGGAGGTGATCCTCCCCCTCTATTCTGCCCTGGTAAGGCATCATCTGGAGTACTGCGTCCAGTTCTGGGCTCCACAGTACAAAAAAAGACAGGGATCTCTTGGAAAGAGTCCAGTGGAGGGCCACAAAGATGGTGAAGGGCCTGGAGCATCTCTCTTATGAAGAAAGGCTGAGTGAACTGGGTCTGTTCAGCCTTGAGAAAAGATGACTGAGAGGGGACCTGATCCAGGTTTATAAATATCTGAACTGTGGGGGGCAGAATGGCGAGGCCAGCCTTTTTTTCAGTGGTGAATGGAGACAGGACAAGGGGAAACGGACATAAGCTGCAGCATAGGAAGTTCAGCACAAATGTGCGCAAGAACTTCTTTACAGTGAGGTGACGGAGCACTGGAACAGGCTGCCCAGGGAGGTGGTGGAGTCTCCTTCTCTGGAGATGTTCAAGTCTTGCCTGGACGCCTACCTGTGTGACCTGGTGTAGGGAACCTGCTTTGGCAGGGGGGTTGGACTCGATGATCTCTAGAGGTCCCTTCCTACCCCTACAATTCTGTGATTCTGTGAAGTCAAATTCAATCCCTGTCAACTTAATCAAACTAAGTCAGGTATTTAGTGAACCCATGGAAAAAATATCTGTTTATCAACATCACAGAGATACAGTGGCACACTTCAACGATAGCTGTATGTAAGAATGTAGCTTGCTAAGGAAAATGGACAGAGCAGTACAGGATAAGATGCCTAATTTTGCATCAGATGCAGGAAGAAACAAAAGATATTGTGTACTGGTGAAAATAAAAAGGAAGAAACAACACCATGCCATGGCTAGAATTTATTTTTCATAACAGACTATAGCTCTATTAAAAATGAGGAAGTTGATACTTTTTTTGTGACTTATCCTGAGAAACTAATAGAGGTATTCCAAAAGCTTGCCTTTGAGATAACAGTGGATTTCAATTACTTGAAAATCAGAAAACTTATATAGCAGGGCAAAAAAAGGTCCATTGAGTTCTTGTAATGTTTTAGGGATGATCTTAAGCTTCAAGGGACAGACAAACTCAAAGAGGCATTACTAACTTGAATTTCATGACAAGTAGAGTGGAACTCATTTTGATTTTAAAGGCAGAAGGTAAACTGAGTGAAAGTGATCATGACATGTTTTACTAAAATAGGCTTCTCTGTTCTAAAAAGAGGAAGAAAAAGCACCCCTATGCTGCCAAACACAGATTGCATTGTTATGTAGAAATGGTTAAACTAGTTTTAAATCAAGCTAATCTTGGTTCTAAAAGCAGGCTCATCATAAAAGCACACCATTCCATATGAGTTAATTAACCTCCTTTCTGCATGGTCTAGGCTGCAGCTCGGTAATTTAAAGCTAACCTAGATTTCCTACAGAGAACAATAGACTCATTTTTAATTAAACATACAATAGCAAGCTATCTTGATGTGAACAAAAGGAAGCAGGGGAAGCTTAGGTAGACTGCGTTAAAGTCACATTAAGAGCTCTTCAAGGATTTGAAAAAAAGTCATAATAGGGGGACAAAGAAGTCTAATATAAAAGAATAAAATCACATATCCTTCAGTACAAAATGAAGTAAAAAGAGATATAAAAGGCAACAAGAAAATATTCTGGGAATATATTAGAAGTGCCCAGATACTTACTTAAGTCCTACAAAAGAATTTAGAGAAAAAATGAGTTAAACTGTTTAGACGATATGTGCTTGAGTTAATAGGGCCTGAAGAATTTGGTTTAATAATATAGCAAAAATAATGTGAATTATCAAAAGACTATGCAGATTCAAGGAGACCAGAAAAGGGCAAAATAGTTATAAGGAAAGCATATCCAAAACAATCTTAATTTTAACCCTGAGAGATATTCTGGAAAAAATGTGTTTACACAGATTTGTCAAGAATAAGTGATCCCACACTAATCTTATGCCCTTTTTTACAATCAATTTCCCTGAGTCAGTAGAAAAAAGGTGTCATAGATCTTGAATTTAGAATAAGTCAGAGACTGTCCCATGACAGTTTTATTAAAACAAAAAGCAAAGTAAATACAATTTTAATGAAATACAGTTTTCATGAAATCAAAACCAAAAGGCATGCTACTTGCAAAAAACAAAGCTGGAGAACATTTTCAGCAAGATCCCATAAGGATATATTGTCATTTCTGCTCCACTCAATCATCCCTTTAATGATCTGCAAGATATAACAGAACACAGATATGTTAAATAAAAAAAAAAAAAAAAAAGCTTTTCACCAACTTGGGAACTGTAAGACAAAGTTAGAGCTCAAAATCAGTTCTGTAACATGGATAAGTATCTAAAAGTTAGCAGGATTAAATCATCAGGGCTAAGGAAAGTGTTACATCTGAGAATATAAATGGATAGTCTAAAAATGAGGGAACTAGGTGGCAATATATCAGAAAAAGTTCTCAGCACAAGTAAGGCTTTTGTCACAGAAGCAATCACAGAAGCAAATTATTTCTAGGATTTACTGATAGATTTTGCTCTTACATCTAATAATGTAATAACGTAATTCCTACACTCTAGTTGCTGTTGATGTCTCAGCTGGACTGCTGAAAGAGGTGTTATACCTGAAGGTAAATGCAAAAGTCATACTGGAAAGAAGCTAGAGAAGAACAGTAAGTCATTTAATTAATGCAGTCTATTACTAACATGAGCAACACTATTTTGTCTATGAAAAGATAGTGTACATAACCACACACAAAAGCTTGTATAAATGAATATGCATATATATTAACAGACACAATTTTTTAAAAAATATGTGAATATATATATAAAAAATTAAAATATATTATTCATTTTCATTGGGAGTATGAAAAGGAATGCAGCGAGAAAATTGAAGTTGGATACAGGAAATACATTTTCATTCAGGTAAGCATTAGTGCAATCTACACACAAGTGTTGCAGCTTTCCTTCAAACAGACGTTTTTATAAATCAATTAGTCAAACAATTCTTTGTGAGTGATGCCACTTTTGAAAACGTGATCCACAGCTTCCTTAGATTCTGTGAACTACTCCAGAGAAGTCCCTGAAAAACAAATGAGCAAAGCAAACCTAATCTCAGCATATGCAACAGTTCTCATATTTATGTTTATGAGTGCACAAATTGAAGATGTTTGAAGAATGCGGATCAACATATATTAGAATCTGCCTCAGTGCAGAGATTACATTAAACTCTTGGGGCCTACGAGCCTATAATTCTTTTTATTCCTCTGTGAAAAATCACATCCCCTCTGCAACTCAATTTTCTTTTACTTAACAAAAATGCAAATAGTATTTTCCCATCTCACAGGGGGCTGTCAGTACATGCATTATATACATTGCTCAGGTACAGTGGCAGTTGCGTGAACTAAAGCACTCAGAATTTTATTTACCTCTCCTCCATGGAGGTCTTCTAGGTTTTGAACATCTGGCAGAAGGATGTGGAGTTGCTGGAGTAGGCCCAGAGGAGGGCCACAAAGATGATTAGTGGGCTGGATCACCTCTCCTACAAAGGATGAGGGAGATGGGCTTGTTCAGCTTCAAGGAGACCTCATCATTGCTTTCCAGTGATTAAAAAGAGTTTATAAACTTATAGTGTTAGAACAAGGAGGATTGGCTTTAAGCTAAAAGGAGAGATTTGGGTTCGATGTTAGGTGGAAATACTTTTCTCAGAGGGCAGTCAGCCCAGGCATAGCTGCTTAGAGGGGTTGTGGTGCCCCATCCCTGGAGGCACTCAAGGCCAGGTCGGATGGGCCCTGGGCAGCTGAGCTGGTGGGGGGCAGCCCAATGCTTGGCAGGGAGATTGGGCTGGATGGACTTTAAGGTCCTTTCCAACTGAAGCCATTCTGTGACTGCACGATGTCCAACCTACACAGCATCTGTCACACCATGGGCAAAAGGAATCTCACATCAATTGCATTATATTTACAATGATTTATTTAAATGCAAGTAAGAAAGCTCTTTTGATACAAAATAAAGAGTACATAACATGAGCACATGCAATTCAGAAGGCCTGTAATAGAAACTTCCACAAAGCTTTCCAAAACCACTGCAGCTGCTGGAGCTGCACCTAACAACGGCTCTGAGTACCAAAGCTTTCAGTCAGCCCTACAGAACGACGAATGAGGCTCTCAACCGGCTATTTCCCACTCCGTGCCCACTGCCGAGGAAGAGCACTGGATGTAGACGGTGGATAGGAGAACCAGGCTGCTTCCCTGCACTTAAGAGCAAATTTCGGCACGGGCTTTCCACCGCCACGGAGGCAGCAGGGATGCCGTCACCCTGCTCTCGTATTTCCGCAGCCACCCTCACGGCTCTGGGCTCAGGGGTGGCACCTCCGCATCCGCAATGACAGAAACAACGCGGCGTTAGTTCTGAGGAAGAAGAAGGAGGAAGGCGGGGAGCCATGTGAGCGCTGCCCCACGGAAAACCCAGAGGAGGCCCCGAGCGACCGCAGCGCCGCCGCAGCCCGGGCGAGGGCGCAGAGCCCGGTGCCGGCAGCCTTCCTTCCCCTTCCCCGCCTCTCTGCCCGTATAAGCGGGGCGGGCGTCCCCAACCAGGCCCGCCAGACCGGTTGGTTCCTGAGGGCCGCGCTGCTCTCCCCGCCTCCCTGAGGCGCGGCCAGGCCCGACGCGGCCTGGCGTGCTGCGGCCGCACCGAGGCCGGGGGGCTCCATGGCCTTCATCCGCAAGCGGCAGCAGGAGCGGGAGCTGTACTCCAAGGAGAGGTGAGCGTCCGGCCCTCCCGGCTCGGCCTCGGCGCTGGAGCGGGCTCACCCTGCCCGGGGAGCGCGGGCTCTGCGGGAGGTCCCGGCGGAGCGCTGGGTAGAAGGGGGGCTGCTGCGGTGCCTGCCTTGTTACTGCTGCTGTCATCGATTGCCCCGGCTTAAGGCTGAAAAGGCTGCAAGGGTAAAGCTGGGAAAATAGAGTTGCGTATAAGCTCCTCTTTTCTGTTGCGTTCGTGGCGTGGAGGTACAGCCCTGCTGCTCTGTGAATGCTGTTCACGCTTTTCCCGAACATGCTGTTCAGCGTGTTGCCAGCCTTCGCATTATGGGCTCCCTGGCAGCTCCTCAGAGCACTGAATGCAGCTGCTTTTCCTCCTGTCTTGTGGCTGCTGTGCTGTGTGCCTAACTGAACCTGTGAGCAGGCCGTACCACACGTGCCTTGTAAGTCCTGAATGTGCTCTCTTATTTTTAGCCAGTGACACAGTTTCTTTTATGTGCCTTACCTACATCTGGCTTGTCAGAAAGCTTCAAAGTTACTTCTGATCTTTGTATTGTCACCAAGGAGATCTGTACCAAATAAGAACTGGGCTCAAGTGCTCCACGGTTGTGGCCCACACTATGGGAGGCAGATCCCGCATGAGCGTGTTGCTGTGCACATCTCTGCTGTTTGTTGTTTAGGAGCAAATCACATGGCTGAATGAGTTTGGCTCGCTTTATCCTATAAATTCTGATTGGTTGCTGTTGAGTGGTGATGCTACTACAGCTTTTGGAGTGTTGACATAATCCAAACATGTTCTGTTTTGCTTTCTTGAGTATCTTTTCCTGGCTGCCTTTGTGGCTGTTATGGTTTCAGTTATGTTCGAGGGGGAAAGGATAAACTTCCCATGGAGGAGGAGAAGGATTTTTAGTTTTGAAGTCAAACATCTTAAGTGTAGGGAATGCTAGAACCATGACTGTTAGCTGTGCTCGGGGCTTACTGTAACTGGTCTCCCCTTCTCAGAAGCTGAGAAATGCCCATAACTCACCACATGTGTTCCAAAGAGCCAGGTGGAATATAAGTTTCATCCAAAAGTTCTGAAAGTGAAACCAACTTAACCACGTTTGTCAGTGTTACTGATTTTCAGTTATGGAAAGTTCCTTGGAAGCATTTGAGGGTGTTCTGTCTTATTTGAATTTGCAGTTTGAGGATATTGTGGAAGATGAGTTTTGTTATCGTTGACACCTGCAGTTTTCTCCACCTCTGTATTTGCTAATTAGTTTCTCTGCTTCTCCCTGTGGCCTAACATGTAAAATATTTTGTACTTCATGTCAGCTGCTTTTTCCTGTTTCTCATCTTGTACATGTTTTAAAAAAAAAAAAAAAAAAAGGAAATCTTAGAAACGTTTCTAAAGCACCGTTAAGAGCTTTTGGCTCTGAAATAACAAATGAGTAACATATAATCCTGCATTTTCTTCTTTTGTGGTAGTCTTGCCTTAAAGCAGCACAGAGAAGTTGTTTACTTCTCTCTCTTGAAGGAGTTGCACTGAAATCTTCTCTTTTAGCCTTGCTGGGTACTTGTTGCAGGGACACTGGATCCTGCCCCAGAGCTTCTCCTGACTGAAGTAATCGCCTTGTAGCTATTTCATAGTGAGTTGACTAGGACTTGAAACTTTGTGGTAATGGTGTTTCACACATGGTTTTATTGTTTGTTTATTTGTATAAAGCAGTGTACAAATGTGTGAGCTGTGGAAGTTCTGGTTAAGAGTACTGTGAAACACTGAGTAAAAAGTCAATCATCTTACATAGATTTTGCTTTGGGGGAGGGAGGAAGGAAGGAAGAAAGACCAGTTCTAAGTGGTAAGAAAAAAATCCTTGAACTAATTAGTTGGACTGAATTAATATCTGATTACATAAGCCTACTTTCTGACTATGTTATTTTCTAGGAGAAAACAAGGTAATTCTAAAATGCCTTGTTTGTATGCTGAGGACAGAGAGGGAGTTTTCCTTTAAATAAACCAATTCACCTATTTAGTTAATTTTGGCAGCGATTTCCCCTTCAAACATACCTGTATTAGAAGACATTTTTTCACTTTTCCTAGGTGTTCACAGTTTAATAAAAGATGAGATATTGTGTCTCTTTTTAATGATATGTGTGCCTACCTGGTGCAACCATTAAAAATATTCAGCATTCATGAGTAGGAATATATATATAAATATTTTTTTCCCAATTAATCTTAGTTAAAATTGAAATTAAGTGATGTTTTGCTAAAGTTGTTGCTTTCTTTATCTCTTGAGTTCTTGGTTCAGCTGCCCACGGGTGTTTCTAACACTTGCTACTCAGGTCTTTTATAAATAGACCTGCTGGTTTGCCTGCTTGGTTTTCTGTTGCCAGAATTTATCCGTTCTGCTGCTAGCATCACATCAAGATGATGTATTGGCAGTATTGCTGGTTTATCTGTGTGATGGTTGCTTGGTGGTTTAAATCTTTATCTTGCCCTCTTGGGACAAAATATTCATAATGGAGGCTTTTATACAAACATCAGCAAGTGAGTCCTACAGCTGGCCTACAGATGCTCTGCTCTTAAGAGGAGGTTTGCTGTTAGAACTAGTTCTGTAGCCCCAGGCTGCCACAAAAGTAGGTGACCTGCTCTGACCCTGGCAGTGTACTTCCATTATCAGGACTGTGCTTCCTGGTCAAGTGATTGCCCAAGGTGTGTCCAGTCAGACACCTGAAGGTGTTGTGCCCCAGTGGTTTTCCAGCATGTGCAATGAAGTGATGGAAATGGGAACAATGAAACAGTGCAGTCACAGTTAAGAAATTAAAGCAGGATCAGCAGGCTAGTTTCTCTTCTGGGTGGCACAAATGGAATTTTGCTGAGATGTGTCCTTGCATGCTCATTCCTGTATCCATTTAGAACAGATTTGATCCTTCAGTTGGTAGGTGACATTGGTACATAAAATAAATTGTGGGTTTGTTGATCTCTTTTTGCTGTTGTTGGGTTGGTTCCCCTCCCCTTGGACAGTCTCAGTTGGAGCTCAGAAGAACTGAAGTACAGAAGGACGTGCACATTAAACAAAATAGCAGTAAAATACTCAAATCTGATTAAGAACACTCTCTTTTGGGGGATGCTTCATAGCGTCTTGGCAGGGCTTGCATACCTCAAGTTGAAGTTGGTACAAGAATTCTACATTTGTTTACAGTGCTGCGTACTTTGAACAATACCAGGAATGTTTGGGTGTAATTTTGGTACCCAAAACTTATGCTTAGGAGATGACATCATGTGAAGTCAAGTTTTGCAAGTGTTTTCCTGGTACTTAGCATGGTGCCTAGTTCTTTGATGTGTCTTGGGTGTGCTCTTGGCTCGTATCCCTCAGCCCTTTTCTGAGTGGCAATTATATGTCAAAAATAAACCGAAAGCCAGAATTCTTCGCTGCTTTATTTACCAACCTCACCTGCCCTTCGCTAGTACTGCTGTAGATTAACTAGATTAACATTTGTTTTGCTTGGCAAAGTGCTTGTGCTTTGTTTTGTAATGTTTTGTTTTTTTTTTTTTCCTGAAGATATTTCTGCATGGCTTCTATCCGGATCTTTCAGATTTCCTTAATGCCATTTTTCTGGGACAAAACAAGAACAGGAATGTGAAAATGTCTTCAGGTTATATTGGCATGTTTTAATTTACATGTAAGCATGGGTACTTCCTTTCTAAGCTCAAGCAATTAAAAGAGTATCTGTTTACTCCACAAAGTTTAGTGGACTAATGCCAGTGGATGTGGGTTGTTATCAAGATGCTCTGATGCAAAAGCTGTTATGGCCTTTACTAAAATTCCTTCTTCTAGTCTGTCCTGACTGTTGTTGGTCTGAGACGTAGCAGCTTAAATGTCCTTCCACCCACTGTTAAAGATCAAGATTACTGATTGATTCCATCCTGGAAAGTGGAACTGCTGCTTTGTCTGTCTCTGACCACAGAGTTGCCTCCCAAGTAAAAAGGTTTCATCTCTGGCCACGTTCTTCTTGTCTCAACCCCTTCAACACTGCATGGTCTCTTGTCCTTGTTGTTCCCTTACATCAACTCATTCAAGTTATTCAAGCTGGGCAAACCATCTCAGGGAAACTCCACAGCTCTGCGTGGAAGCATGTATATTTTCCTAATCTGATGTCTTCTTCAGTTGGTAGTGAGTTATCTCCAACTGTTTTAAGCAGGCTGTGGGGTGGAGGAAGTTGGCAGGCTGGGTTGGAGCTATTAAAGCTTTTGTTCTTCAGATTTTGAAGTGATCCAATGCTTTGTGCATGTAACTTTTTTTTTTTTTTTTTTTTTTTTGAGAAGTTCCTTGCAATCTTACTTTCTATTGGCAACAGTTTGAGGATAGAGACAAGACTGTTAAGAAGCTAAAATACAAGATGTGAGCATCTTTGAAACTCTCACTCCATAGAGATATTTTAATGACGTTTGAACATCCTTTGAAAATTTTCTTTGTCAATTTCTATCATTTTCAAATTTATATATTTGTTCTTGAAGGCATTTTAATATGTCAAGTTCAGTGTATGAAGAAGGAATAGTAAACTAACCCATCAGAGAGAGAGGTGAGGTGCTGGAACAGGCTGCCTAGAGAGGTTGTGGATGCCCCGTCCCTAGAGGTGTTCAAGGCCAGGTTGGATGGGGCCCTGGGCAGCCTGGTCTAGCATTGAATGTGGAGGTTGGTGGCCCTGCCTGTGGCAGGGGGTTGGAGATTCATGATCCTTGAGGTCCTTTCCAACCCTGTGATTCTGAAGAAATGCCTGTGACTTACTGACTGTATCAGTGCGTTACAAGCAATTAAATAGCATGGTGACCACAAAGGATGTGAACGTAAGCTTGTGAAATATGTCTGCATTATGAAGCAAGCATGAATATAACCTACAGTATGCCAAGCTATGAGTTTTATTGCTTGATTTCAAAGGTTTTGACACCAACAGATACTTTCCGGGTTGCTTCTCAAGAGAATAAGTCTTCTTAGAGAGGGAATATCTGTAATAACTGCTAATG